ACTTTGCCATCAACCAGTTTGTGGCTGATGGTTATGTTCTTGCTCAGTGCATATGCATTTGGGAGAGCATGTGTGTGGCGGTGTTTCCACCGTGGCTGCACCTTGTGGCAGAGATAATTGTCTGCGATGGCCAATTGCCCTTGTGAGTGTGAGACTTTGCCATCAAGCACTTTGTGTCTGATGGTTTGTTTCTGGCCCATATGCGCTTGGGAGAGCGAGTGTGTGGTGGTACTTCCAGTATGGCTGCACCTTCTGGCAGAGATCGTGGTTTGCGATGGCCATCCCCGGCTGTTGTGTGAGTGTGAGACTTTGCCATCAAGCAGTTTGTCGCAAATTTGGTTATGTTTCTGCCCAGTGCATATCAATTTGCGAGAGTGTGTGTGTGGTGGTGTTTCCAGCATGGCTGCACCTTCTAGCAGTGATCATTGTTTGCGTTGTCCAAGTGCTCTTGTGTGATTGTGACTTTGCCATCAAGCAGTTTGTGGCTGATGATGTTTTTTCTGCTGCGTGCATATTGGCTTGGGAGAGGTGTGCGTAGTGGTGTTTCCAGCATGGACGCATGTTGTACACCTGTGGCACCCACGTTGTAAGAGTGTGTTTGTCGTTCATGGATTGTGAGCAGTCATGCTTTTGGCAAAGGTTTGGTTGCAACAGAGAAACTGACGATGGGCGGCTGCCGATGGAGGTCGCTTTTAGTTTTCTTGAGGTGGTGTGCTGATCGTGGCAATGCAGGACTGTTGGCAATATGTTGCAACAAGTGTTGCTTTGCCAATTTTCGAATCTGTAGCTGCCAGTTGCCATGTTAGGATGAATATATCAGTTGCAGACTTACTCCAAACCGACCTTGGGATGAGCAACTCGAGGTTGGTCTGACAATTGCAGTGCTTTTCAAGTCATTTCCAGTACACCACAGGTATCCAAATTGCCAGCGAGATGTTTGTGTTTCCGTGGCGCAGGTCACACCATCTTTGAAGGCCAACAAGAATGGAACCAAGCCCATCACCTGGGACAATTGTGGGGCAGTGGGAAGCAATAAATTGGGCCATTTGTAGAAATGTTTTATTGTGGGTTGTCATAGCTAGCTTATGTGACCAATGTAGACTAGCCTTGATTGGTTAGGATGTGCTTGCACCAGTTTGGTTTGGTACAAAAGACAGCAGATGTAAATAGGGGCCCATGATTGTAGCCGTTAGCTGATAATGTAATAAATGATTGCTATGGAAAGGGACTGAAGTGCGTGTCATGATAGGCTGTCCAACACGGATGACGCCTGGAAATACACAATAAAGTACACAGAAAACCGTGTTAAGCAATCGAGTGGTCAGGCGGACCACCAGTGGGTGGCACCCCAAAGGACCCAGCTTTTACACGATAAATCGTGTAAAGCGTGTTAAAAAATCGTGTAATTCACAGACGGACTGAGTACCCAGTGGGCACAACCCCAAAGTACCCTATATTTTACACGGAAAACCGTGTCGCGTACTTGATAAGGGGGTGAGTACCCAATGGGTACCACCCATAGCACCCAGTTTTTAACACGAAAAACCGTGTCATGCATGCAACAAGCATGCTAAATACCCAGTGGGTAGCACCTCCGAAGACACGATTTTTACACGAAAAATCGTGTTCCAACTTGGCCTGCAAGACACGCACAACAACACGCAAAATCGTGTTAGTACACGGTGGACAAAAGTACACGATGTCCATAACTACACGATGGCCAAAAAAGTACACGATCATAAACTACACGATCGCCAAAACCGTGTAATTTTTCCAGGAAAAGTACACGATGAAAGTACACGAAATTGTCCACCTTACGTCCATGCACAACCCGATTTTTTACACGGTTTTACACGATTTAACCCGTGTACCAGCGCCAACCGTGTAAAATCGTGTAGCAAAGTACACGATTTTTTACACGATTTTTACACGGTTTTACACGATTGTACACGATTGAACACCGTGTAAAAATGCCGATTTTTTCCTAGTGGCCACAACCATCGTCAACCAGCTGCAGCCACAGAGCCCTCCATTAATTGCACGCACGCCATCGAGCCCTCTCCCCAGTGCTCTCAAAGCAAGATGCGCACGCGAGTCCTCAATTGAGCCCTCAATTGAGGCCCTTGCAAGGGCCAACGGCTTCGGCTTCTTCAGGGCTGCTGCGCGGGCCAGAATCCCCTCAGGGGCGCCAAGCACGGCCACCAGCGGGGGCGACGCGACCTGATCCTCAGGATCCGGATGCCGCTGCCGATCTCTTCGTCCGCGATTGGGCTGTCGCGGTGGATGTAGACCTCCGTTGGAACTCCGGAGTTCCAACTGGATCCCGTGACCGGTTCGTAGGTCGCCGTCACGCTCTCAGCCCCTTCGCGCAGCGCCTCGCCAATGATGTCGAACATCCCGTCCACGGTGGAGACGTTGCGCGCGATGCTTAGATCCTGCGTGGGGGCCCCCGCCTCTTCGAGGCCGCGGCGCCGCGCCGCACAGTGACGACCAGCGGCCTGGCTATGTCGCGAAGCAGAAGCAGCTGCGCTGGAAACGCATCTCGAATGCGGATGAGCCTTTCACCCTCCAGCGCACCCGTGCGGCCTCCAGCTCCGCGACTGCGGTCCAATGGGCGGATGCCAACACGGTGGCGATCGCCATCAGAGCGAGTATGAGGCCAGCAACAGAGACTCTCATGGCTGCTTCAACCTCTGGCTGCCGAAGGCTGTAAGCGCCGGAGGCGGAAGTCGTATCAGTGGTGCCTTTCCCTGTCGCCGCCCGAACGAGCGCTGGCTCTTGCAGGCTGAGCTGCTGTCCGTGCTTTAGTATCCTTGCCGGGTGGAAGTCCAGTTGATCGTGGGGTGATTACACCCGATCCGATGTAGTTGCGCCTCGAACTGCGCAGTGAATTGTGATCGCGGATGTACGACCGCAGCTGCGCAGAAGCGGGCGCCCACACGCTGATTTCTGCTGGAGGTACGTGACGCTGACCGTCCCGCTCCGCCCGCCTTGCAAGGAATGCGCGCTGCACTTCCTCCGTACACCAGGCGTACGCACGTGCGTGTACGCACAACTGTCCTTCAATCCATTAGTATAGGACAAGACAAGGGAGATTTCAACCTAGCTTCCCAATCGGGAAGAGGCCGGAGCTGGTCCCCGGCCTTTCCTCCCTGCCAGTGAGTGTGCGTATGTCGCAGACTTTGATTGATGGGCACCGTGCTGTCTGCCAACCAGGTGGATTGGAGCCTGCGGGTACGTGTACCCAAAGGTCCCAATCTACCGGGTCGTGAAGGTTTACATTTACAAACACGATTGTCGTGGCCGCCAGCACGATATACCATAGCAGTCGCCTAATATGGATGCTAGTTTGTTCGCACGGCTCCACACGAAATGTGACGGGAAACTTATCTTCATCATGTGCAATCGGCGGCACGGCAACTGCTGTTTTGCAGCAGAAGTGAATCGTGCAGAGTCCAGTGTACATGTCACGCGACACATCATCGCCATTTACGTGGGCTATGTTAGGTTTACTAAGAGGGGAAGCATATCTGTGTCTATCTAGACAGAGTACGTGACGTCACAATGGATCCCGAGAGAGGTCCCCCTTTCTGGCAGAGTCTCACGGCCTCACGGACAATCCAGACATTTTCTTCCCATGGGAAGAAAGCTTTGGCCAAAGCACTTGTCTTATATGCGTGCATCAGCTGTCTTGAACAACTGCTTTGTGAGGTGAAGCAAGCTGCACTTTCCCAGTGCCTGACAGCGAGTTCCGAGATCTGGCCGGGTCCTGTGCAGAGCCTTCCACTAGTAGTTGCCACATCTTCCACTAGGAAAAAGGCCAAGATACACGGTTTTGGAAATCGTGTACTGTGTAAATCGCGTAAGTTGATTGAAAATAGTGTAAATATCGTGTTAAATCGTGTGTTGTTCGAGTATTTATCGTTTAAAATGATACCAAGCCGTGTAATAACGATTGGGTGAATGTATACGACGTTTACGCGATTTTGCACGGTTGAAAACCGTGTATTTTCACCGATTTTCTACTTGTGTTCTTGCAGGATTGCGGAAACCTGGCAAGTGTCTCTAGTGCCCGAAAGGCAGCATGGACGACGGGCATTCTTGATGTTCCATGAAGTGCGACAAGATGCTGCTGTAAGTGTGCCACTTCTGCCACAACATGCTACGGTTAGCGTATTGCTGGTGTGTCCACATCCCGCATATTTATTGAGACAAATGGATAGTACCTCAAACAGCCACGATTACCTTGATCTCAATTTGAACATTGCTCTTTCTTCTTTGCCGGCGTCCATGTCTTTGGGATCCACTATGGTGGCCATCGGGGCTGTCCCATGTGTTCTCTTCCCGACGTACCCGTTCATCTATTGAATCTCATTGATTTCGCGAGTAGATATAAGACCTATGGGGGCGCGAAAACTTGTAGTGCGAGCTTAGCATTACAATCAGTTCTTCAGATTCAATCCCGTCAGCACTACTGTTCTTACAGACTGAAACAGAAACTATGTTCCTTTCCCCAAGAAGCTCAAACTTGATGTGTTTGTAGTTACCTTGGGTGTCCTTTCGCTCTGCCAGTCAAGAAATATTAACCATCAGGGGATGGAGGCAATGGCATTCAACCGCTGCAACCTCCGCGATCAAAGTCGCAATACAAGGCTTGCTAGCTTGGTGCCCTCTCCACAGCGCGGCGTCCTAAATTCGGACACCAAACCCTAACTCCGGTACGTTGAGCCGGGTGACCACCGCCCAAATTTAATCAACCACCGTGCAGCATCTACACTTACTAAGTATTGTGCTGGAATTGCGTTTGCGACCATCCCAACGTGCTTCCCCCCCAAGAGTCACGCCCACCCGTTATGTCGAAGACAAAAGCTCATCGCCAGCAGAGGCGGTCAGAAATCCTCCCACCCTACTCCCGCAGGCGGAGGAGCGCCTTTGCCCCCCCCCCCTCAGGTCAGCAGGCCCGCCCGGGTCGCTCGAGTCGACCCGGCCGCAGCGCCGCCATGGCCGGCGCGCTCTCCCCGTTCCTCGCCCCCTTGGGCGCCGCCCGCTGCCGCCCGCGCCTCGTGATCCTCGCCTGCAATGCCGCGCCCAGCGACGCCCGGCTGGACGCCGAAGTCGATCCCGCGGAAGCCTCGAGCAACGGCGGCGGCGAGGGCGTGGCGCCACCGCGCCTGGCCATGCCCGGGCGCGCCCAGCGCAGGCGTAGGCGGTCGGCGAAGAAGGGCAGGTCCGCGGCCGCGATGCGGGCGTCGCTCGTGGGAAAGGTGCGCGTTTTTCGCTCGTTCGGTTCTCGTTTTGTCGGTTTTTCGGTTTTTTGGTTTTGGGTTTTGTCGGTCGAGGGAAGGATCGTCGGGCCGGGGGAAGGGGATGGTGACTGGGCTGGCGAGCCGGTTTGGATCCATCGAGGCGAAGGGAAGGGAGGGTGGGAGCCCGGAGGTGCCGCGGTGATCTGCAGCGTGCGGGTAGCGGATGGGGTGGGATTTGCCCCGGCATTGTTGGGCGGATCCGCTGCGGCTGGGCTCGGGATGGCGGGGACTGGGGGGCCCTCTGCCTCGGACGTGTCGCCAGTCTCAGAGTCGAATCCACGTACTGGAATTGCCATAAGACGCGACGAGCAAACACCTTGCGACTTGAAGGAACGCCCAATGAATGTTTGGCCGTTGTCCCCAGATCAATATTCCGCACACCCCTTCCAAGTGCAGCGCAGCAGATCTTTTGAGAACGATGCCTTGATGGGCAGTTGAGGCGTCGGTGTGTGTGACCAGTCAGACGCCTCACTGGCATCAACTCGGATCCCCGACGAAGGCTATCCAGACAAAGGACAAAAGATTATACTTGGGGTTGGATGGATGCGAAGGCTGTTTTGTGCAAATGATGGAAAGTGAATTGCCACGATATGTTGTAAGGAACACTGCTGAACAGTGCAGAAGACTTGTCATTTGAGCCATGCCAAAGCCTGTTGGTCAGCCTCTTTCTCCCTGGCATAGAATTCGATGCGAAAATCTCAGACTGCAGGGAAAATCCACTCAACATCGGTAATCACAGCCCTATGAAATCACATTTGACACACTAAGCTTTGTTGCCCCTATTCTTTGGGACGCACTGGGCACATGCTCTCCCACCCCTGACATCATCAATGGCTGCTTGTTTTCTTATTGCCCTCCTCCTGCTGTGTGGGTAGACTCCTGCAGCACATGTCAATGTGGGCCCAAATTTCGCATGGGTATCCTGAAGCTGGGCATGCCCCTTGCCCTTACCTCTGTAGAATCCAAGGGCCTGGATTCAGAATAGTTGCATTTAACATCCCACACCCGATGGTTTTCATGTCCTGCATCGCCAATATGCTCCACAGAGGGTGCACAAATTCTATTACACAAATTCTGTCTTGTGTCTTTGATTTCTCATACAAACTACCTCACAATCTTCCTCACTCTTCTTCTGAGACTGTGCTGTGGCTTCCTCAGTGTCTCTTTTGCAGGGAGTTACTGGGACCTCATGGCTGCAGCCACACACATGTACTCCCTCTTATACAGCAAAAAATTATTCGTTTTCTAGAATTTACAATAATACAGACAATTGCCAAAACACAGCCTAATGCGGAGGATTGTGGGTCCTTGGAGCAGGAAATCATGATCATCTTTTGCAACTTATGGTACTGAGGTACTTGCAGAGTGCTAGAATTTTTGTGGCACAGTCTGTTCATCCAAGTTTAACAGCAACATTTGCCTTGATCAATGAAATGACAGCCAGAACGGGCACTTCCCAGGGTGACCAGACATCAAAGACAGCAAACAGCTTAGTAGTGGAGGAGGAAAGCGAGTCTGCTGGCCCACAAGACACATCCATTGGAGACGGGCAATCCAGTCCAACCAATGGAAATGGGACACTTGCAGAAGAGTTTGAGCCTCTGGAATTCCGGCTGAGGAGGGATGCTGAGGGTAGCACCACCCCGTTCCAGCCATTGCCCTTCCCCAGGCATGAGCGGTATGTGGCTGATCGGGATCTTGTTCCGTCCTTGCTTTTGTTGAGTAGAACACAAGACGAGGAGGTTTTACAGGACGGAAAGCTTACAAATTGTTTGGTTACTCTCTGACAGCTGCTTAAACATATGAAACGAGCCTGACATTGGGGAAGAATTGACGAATGTGTCTGTTGCAGTCAATGTGAATAGTGACTCACTGGTTATGGTAAGCTGCCCGACAAGTGTCAGATCATGAGACAGTGTCAGCTCAGCTGGCTATCTACAAGGACGTCACAATGCATGTGCTTATCTTAAGTGTTGATAAGCCTGAAATCGATCATTTTTGGCAGAACACGTGGCCAACTGGTTTGTTCTTACTTTCTTAAGATCAAAAATTGGAGGAGCGTGTTGAAGCGAAAATGTCAGAAAAGCCAGGAATCCCAGAAATGCCATAAGGGGCTCTCTGGGTGTCTAGCACTGACACAGCAGGACACTAAGCCCATGCACAGGAGGTGACACTGCAACAAAATGGACACTGGGCATGGCGGCAGGGCGTATGGGCGTATGAGGTGCAAGCTTGGGTAGCTGCTGATAGGTGGAGGCTGGGAGGATATGCGGCTATTGTTTGTCCTAGGCAGTCTGTGAGGTGCGAGGTTTGGGGGGTGGAAATGCTGGGGAGGAAGGTGGCTGCCCAAGTTGCTGCTACACGGAAGGGAAGAGCATTGGGCACTGGCCTGATGCCTGCTGAAATGCCCCTGCAGCAGAAGCATTGTGTCAGGACAGGTGCCAGAATGGCCAAAACACAAGTGGTGGTGCTGGGGCGCTCCAGTCCCTAACCCCGGTAAAAGAAGGCGGAGCACGATCAGGGGGGCTATTTGGCTGCCCCCGCTGTGCTGAAATGACGGAAGCGGGAGTGTGGGGGGTAGTTACTGTTTTTGTATCTGTGTTACACTCCATTTGTTGTTTGCATTGGGCCTGGAGGCTACCACATCTATTTCACTGTACAGGGAAATAGTGTCACTTCACAGTTCTTGCTCAGCATGTGCCCCTTCACGTTAATTTCCTGTTTGTATGCTACATTACACATGCTGAGGACAATTCTTGCACTGCATATTCTGAGAAAAATTGGCACAAGGCAACAATCAAGGCAACAAGGGACATTGAAAGGTGGACATGGGAGCTTGAGCTCAATCAGCATCTATGTTATTATAAGCAAAAACCATATTGTTGGTGTGCTGTGTAGTCCTGCTGAAGACACGGACACTGATGCTCGCACCAAAGGGTACGTGCCATTGGAGAATGACCCCAACGACATGTGCGTCCTGCCAAAGCCCATCTTCGTGCTGTCTGATTGCACAGGTAACTTCTGCTGTGAGATTTCTTCAGGGGGGTGACTGTGCACATGGATTACAGTCCAGTGCACATCTGGCACATCTTGTGCCACAATGACCTGTTGAATGATTCTGTGAGGGCCACGGCGATGAATTGACGATGCATTCATCCTTGATCGGTCTGTGCACTGCAGGGAGACCTTGCATGTGTCAGTGCTGGTATTTGCAGTTGCCTGTGCACATTGCCTGTGCACACCCTCTGGTTTGTCACATGTGTAGATAGCAGAACTTTGCCCCTTGCTGCTGGTTCGTTGATTGGTTCGTGCAAGGAGTTTATTCTGCCATATTTATCGATTGTCCATGGTGCAGAAGTTGAGGTGCTGGACATACACTTGGCCATTCATTTGGATGCATTCGCAAATGCATTATGCTGTGTATTGGCTACACTTGCATTGATCCATGCGCATTGTGAGGATTGTCAGTTCAGCTCAATTCATTTCAGTCAACTGTTTGTGAGAATGGTTTCCAGTGGGAGCCACCGATGGGACAACCTTGTGCCCATTAATTCAACACAGCGCTTGAGGTCTGTGTAGAGGCCTGTGCAGCGATTCACTGTTGGCTTGCCTTGGACATGCACATTCACATACTAGATGATTTGTGATGGATGAGAAGAGCACACAGGCACTCAGTCTGACATTTGAAGATTGGAGTCACAGTGTATTGGTTGGCCCATTGTCATTAAGTGCCACCTCCTGAACACATCATTGTGTGCAAGAAGAACATCTGGTGGTCCTGGGCACAACGGCTTGCCGCAGGTTTCGACTATTCCCACTTGTACATTTGGAGCTGGTCAGTGCTGTCATATCGCATGACCCTGACCTGTACTTTTGGTCCAATCACTGATTGTGCAACAGCTTCCTATCGCCCTCCTTTCAAACTGATTGCCTGATGCGTATGAACTTGATGCTCCATATGTGGGCTATGGCATGATGTCACGTACCTAAAGGGTGCTGTGAAGGGACCAAGCACATGCTGCAGATTCATTGGAACAGCCAGTGGGCTGTTGAAGAGCAACCCACCCACCCTCCCTTCACATGCAAATGCACCATTCAAGATGGAAGTGACAGGGTTCGCGTTCAGGCAACCTTTGAAATCTCATCTCTTTCATTGCCTTGAAGGCCCAAGGACAATCTGTTTTACCTTTACGTGCTTGCCTTTTGATGCTATTGTTGCACATATTTGATTGGTTGCATTCTATTTTTCGACAAATGCCATCCCCCAGTCCAACTTGTGAACCCTGCCTGCCTTTCCTGTGTCCATGACAGGCGAGAGTGCAGCGAACACTGTGCGCGCTGCACTGGGACAGTTTGAAAACTGCTTCAAGACCAGCGTGCCTGCCAACCTCATGGTCTTTCGCTTCCTGAGGGACGAAAACAGGATCGTTGACATCGTGCAGAAGGCAGCCAAAGAGGAGGCGCTGATCGTCTTCACCCTTGTGGATCACTCTGCTGTGAAGATCTTAAGGACGGCATGCGCAGCCCTCGGCGTCAGCTACGTGGACCTGTGGTCGAATCTCCTGGACAATATGGAAAAGCACCTGGACACAGTTCGAAGGTGGGAAAATGCCAGGAACACGTGTGGCTACTGTGGCAAGCGGACTGGGCTGGCATTTTTTGTTTTGAGTTGTTTTAGTGCTGGCTCCTGCCATTCTTTTTGTGAGGCTGTGCTTATTCTTATTCATTCTGGCCGTTGGAATGCAATCATAAGTGTGATTCTGCTCCTGTTGAATCCCCTTCTTCAGAAGTAGGTTGCTGACGAACTGTGACTACTTTTTATTTTGATTGGAGGCTCTGCCTGGCTTTCTGGTCATTCTTTTTGCAATTCACCTTGTGCAGGGCACTACGGAGGTTTGGCCTGTCACATTAAACGATTGTGATACCAGGCACTGATGCTTACCTGGCAATTTGTGTATCCTGTTCTGGTCAGTAAGGTTGGTGTTTTAGCGGAGAGAATCTGTCAAGGCATGGCAAGAACAGCTGGCCCATTCCTATAAGGGGATGTTGCGCGCATGGCTGCTGCACATGCTGTGTGACATGACTCATCGCCCTACGTCACCTTGCTGTATGCGGTGTGTTGTCATCATATTCAAACTTTCAGATAACGGGAAGGTGGAATTATGGAAAGCATGCATAAAAATTTTCTTACAGTGGCAATGGAAACAGAAATTTCCCTTTCTGTCGCTGTTGTCTGGTTGTCCTGATGGGCTGCGCCCTGTGGCGCTGTGCCGGCAGTGGCCTCCCCCTTGGCAGCCCCCAGCGTACTCAGAAGCTGTCTGAGGACTACTTCTCAATGATAGAGGCGGTGGAATTCACAAGGCACATGGACGACGGTGCACACCCACATCGCTGGCACGAGGCGGACCTCTTGCTGCTGGGTGTCTCCAGGTGTGCCCTGTGCAGGCATCTTCGTCTCGAAACCAATATTGAAGGCAAACATCACATATATGTGTGTGTATGTTCACCTTGTGATGACTTTGCATTTGTAATTTTGCTTTTATTGCTGGTACTTAATGTCATTCAAGTTCTGAAGGTCTTACATGGGTTGGTAGGCTGCACACAGTACTGGGAAACGAATGCCCATAGTTTGAACGGTTCCTTTTTGTGTGAATTGGACAATATCAGGCAATTGTACCTTGGCACGCGCATGCTTGCTCTGCACCCAAATCCTTGTTTCCCTCTGAAAGTCATGTGGTCCTTCTGCAGGTCTGGCAAGACGCCCCTGTCCATATACCTGGGCCAGCGAGGCTACAAGGTGGCCAATCTTCCTCTGGTAAGGGGCATCCCTGTGCCCAAGCAGCTGTACGAGATCGACCAATCCAAGATCTTCGGTCTGATCCTGGATGCCAAGGATCTGCACACCATCAGGCAGACGAGGCTGAACTCGCTGGGGGTTGGCAGCACGTCTTCCTCAGGGGGCTATGCCGGCATGAAGGTGGGGCGGTAATGCACGCTGCTACTCTGCCAGAATGGGCCACGTCGGTGGCCTCTGATCTGCAAGTCGATGATAGTCTCAGTGCAGCTCACGGTGTCTGTGCTGTTGTGTTTGCTTGGCATGAAGTTGGCACATAACTCAGCATACATTGACTTGTGCAGAAGAACTGCCATTACGCAATGCACTGTTTGCAGATGCACATATCTCAATGTTGCAATCTTTGTGTGTATGGAAAATGTATGTGTGTATATTGTGAGAATGTGCTGTGCTTCGCGCTGACATCCTTTTTGGCTGTGTGCAGTCGGTGCAAGAGGAGCTGGATTACGCTTGGTCAATGTACAAGACAAATGATTGGCCGGTCCTTGATGTAACGCACAGGTGGGGCTCGATTTTTGTTTGTGCCATAGATATTCACGAGTGCATCAATTTCCTCTGCAATCCCAAAATTCGCAATGTTTAAAGAGAGAAGGTGCCACATCCGTCCCAGGGATGGAAGTGTGAGTATCCAATTTTTTTTGTTGTAGTACTGTGTATGTTGATGTCGACGAACCGTGCGGCGCTTCAATAGTGAACAGCATTGCGTCTCCTTCCTGTGTCTGCATATTTTGAATGTTTTTCGCGAGCTGCGATCTCATTATTGTATTCATCCAGATGAGCTAGGGACTTGCCCAGCATGGGTTTCTTTACACGAAAAAGCATAATGTTCATTCACAGTGCGTCAACTCCGACTGGAGTTTGCTGTAGCGCCTCCTGTCTCCATGTCCTCGAAGGATTTTTGGGTACTTTCCTCTGTCTCTGTCTCTGTTCAGGATTGCAGCTGACTCTGTCTCAACTGCACACAACTGCCTTGACGACGTCTGTCAGAGCATCTCAGTTGTTGTACAAGTGTACTGTGGCAAGTCGTTGTCCTTGCCAGTGTTGAGCGATGCCAGCGATTGCGCGCGGTCAAGCCTCTGCCACATAATACCAATGGACCTCTAGCATCCCCAGATGCTATTTCACAGTGAGGAGTGCACACTGAAAATGCACAAGTTTGCTCCGTGGGCTGGGGTCGTCATGTGCGGCTAATGCAGCTACAAGCATTCGAATATCATTATCGCCAAGGCTGGTGCTTGATCGCCTCCGCAGACATCATCATCAGTCTCCGTTTGCTGACACATCGCCGCACACATGCTGTAAACGATGCATATGCGTTCACGTACATACGTGTTCCTAATGCTCCAAGAACAACGCAATACGGTTCCCCCTGTCGACCGATCCTCACATCATGTTGTGCTTCTTTCTGAACCGCAGTGGCGTTGAAGAGACGGCCGCTCGCATCCTCAAGATTTTGACGGACCGCAGCGGCCACACGCACCCATTGTGGAAACCACCGGTGGACTAGGGGTGTCTCCGCCAGCGACGTGCAGCGGCCTCAGGGACATCGTTGCTCAGTTGACGCTTTCAGTGCCAGCGGGGCGCCTGCTCCATCAATTCTTTGTTTGTTCGGGTCGATTCTTGTACGAGTTGATTTTTGGGCGTTGAGGCGCGACGTGCAGCGCCACGTTCATATTAAGATTTGAGTGGCCAGTCAGCGGACAGGGGAAGAAGTGCGCGGCTGTGTGCGAAGGTCATTTGACGGCTGTGCACGTGTGCAAGCACGATGTACAGCAAAGCCTATTGCGTGAGCGAAGCACAACTGGCTGCGGCCCATCCACGGCCAAATTGCATGCCAGGGCATGAGTCGATTGCCCCTCTCCAGCTGGCCGTTGTGCGTTCGTTTCTTGTCTTTTCTATTCTCTGGAGCAGCTGGCTTTTCTGGAAGGTCTCGTGCCCTGTGTCTCCTGGCTGGGCACGGGTTCAAGGGTTACTCAATCGTGAAGTGCTCAAGAAGACGAATTTTGCCTGTGTGATTGGAAGAGGGAGACTGTGCGAAATTTTCGGACGCATTGGCGCCGCCACATGCCAGCGATGTAATTTGGGATCATGCGTGTTGTTGCGTTTGCTGCCTGCTGTGATGCACTGGCGCGGCGGTGGCATCTGCTTGCCCGAAAGGTGCCACAAAGAGAAACGGCGTAAACACTTTTCTATTTACGGCTGTTTACACGTAAAAACGAGTTTGACGTTTTGCCACGTAAATAGCTGCAAGACTGCGCCAAAATGGACCTTGTGTACTTAAAGACAGTACGTATTCACTCGCCGGACTCTTGGAGTCCGGGGAGTGGCAGTTAGACGCGCTGAAATGTGCAGAAACGAATTGTTTTTCGACGGCGTCGCTGCCCTTGCTGAGGGCGAGGCGGACGCTGTGTTGGCAGTTCTCGAAGCGGCGGAGGACTGATCATTGATTGGGACATCATCATCTAATCTGCGCATGTCAACGAACAGTAAATATGTGTAAATATGGCTGTAAAAATGGCCGTTTATCTATTTACGCGTTTTCACGCGCAAAAATGCGTCTAAAATGGAGCCGTAAATGTGAAGACGAAGCCTGAATTGACATGCACGATATGCTCCAAACGTATGGAATGCGCCCTATAAGCGGTGCTCTCAGGTGGCAGCATGAAAGCAGGGAGGGCAAAATGCCATCGCACGTGGCACTGCTTTGCCAATATGTGCTGGAGAACCACTGCGGCCGCCGAGTGGTGGTTGTGCACACCCCATGGGGTGTGGTGTGGCTGGCCTGGGCAGGTCATGACGCACATCACATGCATTAAATAGAGATGAAGCCGATGCATCTCCCACATGAATGCCTCCCAACCCTCAAGCCAACCCACCCTTCCCAACCACATCAGTTCACAGTAACACCGTCATGCTTGGGAAGGTCACCACCAAAAGAGAAACAAACACGAAGCTCGCCACCAAGTTTCCAACACCAAATGGTTGCCAGGGGTCGTTGCGACAAACATGCGGGCCTTCGGCTCCACATTGCTGTGCGGGCGACGGGGTTGCTCAATCCGACTAGACGGCCACATCCATTGGATACATCCAATCCAAGCATACCCACATCAAAAACAATTTCTGGCTGTGAATTATGAGGTCCAACAAAGGCCGCCCTGCCTCTCACGAGGCGGCGGCAGCCGCTGCCTTGGGCGCCATGTCGTCCAACAGGCCTTCCGCCACGGCCATGTCTTCGGGCGTCGTGATCTTGAGGTTCGTGTAGGAGCCCTCCGTCACGACGACCCTGCCGCCCATGGCCTCTACGATGGAGACGTCGTCGGTCACCTCCAGGCCCTCTCGCCTCACCAGCTCGAATCCCTGCTTCAGCAGGTCGGGCCTGATGACCTGGCAGCAGCGAGAAGCCACTGTTCAGAATGCCGTCCAGAGAGCTGATCCAAAAGGCGGCCTGGGACAACGCGGTGCCAAAGGCTGTTCCAAAGTGCCAAGGCGGTGGTGCATTCGTGTGGTAAGGGAGCTTCTATACACCACAAAAACTATGTACCAGGAATGCAGCGCCATGCCCGTCGATGCATGCTCAGGGTGTGTTGTATTGCGAGGTTGTTATTGCTACTGTGAATGGACTTGATCAACTGAATTAATCACATTTGCAAAAATCAAGCCCAGCAGGTAACAACAAGTGTGAACACCAGCAAATGCGATACGTCCTACGCACCACTATGCATATCCCCGAACAGTTCCACATTCTGCAAACCCATCCCTGAACGGACCAGTACAGTCCGCTTGAACCAAATAAAACATGTCAGCAAAGCGGCAAGCCAGTTGTGGGCCAGAGGGCGTGCACAGCAACACGGTACGTCCCGGAGCAATCCGAAGCCGCAAACTGCGCAAAACAAACACATTGATGCTCGAATCCTTTACTTACATTTGTCAAACAAAACGTGGCAAAACAGTGCCCTGGCACCTTAGAGGCGGTGTTGGGCTTAATTCCAAACGCGTGTTTTGTTTGTGGCTCAGTGTTCGTTCACATCCAAACAAGCTGATGTGTGCAGGCTGGATTTGGCACCGCACCTGTGGTGTTTGCACCTCCCAGAGTCGTGACCGGACCAGAGTCTGCACGACGTGGCCCTGGTCGTCGACCTCCTTGATGGTGGGCTTCACCCGCACGCCCAGCACGGCGGCTCCCACATCCCAGGCGTCCAGCACGCACTTGAGAACGTCTTCGGCCCGCACCAGCGGGCGAGCAGAGTCATGGATGGCAACAAGCGCCACAGAGGGGCTGACTTCCTGATGCAGCAGATGGTGGCGATGGCATCGCTCAATGGGTCCCTCCTCCCTCAAGAGACTGCGTCAAAAATGTGCTCTACACTGTTCTTTGCCTGTGGGCTGGGCTGGGGCAGGTGGTCCTGTGCATTGTTGGCTGTGATATTGTGGGAAAGGTTGTAACAACTATGTCTGTTGTAAACAAAAGCAAAACATCCCTGGAGCAGACGGCTTTTTTGGTAGACAATGGACAGAGCACTAGGGGGTGCACGAATCTCGATGCAACGAAACAATATGTTTAAGAGGGCTAAAAACTAATTGGGCAGTTCATTTGCAACAAAGCCAAACAATCCACAAGGCAGAAGCCTGACAATGCGCCTGCAGGAAAAGAAGTACGGGACCACAGGTACACAATGCAACGCTCGTCTTTGGAAAATGGCCATCGTTATGCTGCCATGGTATACATTGTGTGTTGTACAGCATCAATGTCAGACTGCATACAGCCGCATTATATACTGCAGTGAGTGGCAAGCACAGTAACAATGGGCAAACACCCGCCTGTCATGTGCATGTCCTAACCTGCAGGCCATTGTAAACGCTGTCCTGGCGCTCAGGTCCAGGAGATGCGAATCTCATGGGCACATTCATGCCAGACCTCTCTGCACACTCCTCAAACACATACCTGCGGCAAGAGGAACAAGGGCACAAGGGCATTGCAGTGAGCTGCAGAGACAGAACATGGGAGGTGAAGAATGGCCATACCAAAAACGTCGACAAGAACGACCACCTCACACAATTTCTGTGCTTGCATAAACAATGTTCAGTTGGACACCATGCAGCAGTGATCTAAGCCATATGCTATCAGAACAAAATCTTTTCTGCAGAATGTCCACGATCCCGATTGATGGCAACTCCAAAATACAAACAAAACTGAAAACATTCACACTCCTCTGAGTTTACACTCCGGCCCTCACACAAAGACACTCGAATTACGGCAGGCCATAGAATAGAGGGCATAAGTGGCCTGTATCGCCATCGAAAAAGAAATACAAAGGGCACCAATTGGCAAAGGCAGGGTTGCAGGCGCACCACATCATCCAACACCAACTGCCAATTGGTGCATAACTTGAGCACCCATGTTGCATGCCACACACCAGACTTCCAATCCCGAAAAAGGATTTCAGACTATTGGCACCTGTGAAGGCTGGGGAACTGTGTGCGTTGTCTACTCTGACAACATGGAGCAGGTTTCTTTCGACCAGAATTGCGAGGACCATGTAGGCCGCTAGTAACTGAAATTGCCTTAATATCTCTGAGTTTGGTAGAGACACATTTCATGGCCAACGCATGTCGTTTTCACATCAGCTGTACGGATGCATGCTTACACCTGAGAGGACCACGCACAAGCAATACAAAGGCAATAGAGAGCCAGTTATCAGCCAGAACTTGCAATGGAAATGATTGTCATATTTCGATAAACACAATCTATACAGATTCACTGAGGAAAACAGCAAAATGTTGCGCTCTTTATTCACCTCCAAGATGGATCACAGACGACAACGATTTCCCCGACCTCTTTCATCTTGGCAAAAGTCTGCATGCTGTATGTTGCGATCGGTTGGCCCCTCAAGTCGATGTACTGCTTTGGGACCTTGGCCTACAAGGTGCAGCACTGCACAAAAGCTGCAATGGAGTTGCAGTCATCGCCATACAAATAGCAACCCCTTCATCTTTCCCTTTATTGGCCAGTCATATAGGGCTTCCCAATTAGGGCTGGGCCTCAGTATCCCCACTAGTCACTGTTTTCAGATGACAAAATTGGCAATGGTAGTTCAACTGTACTATCTTTCACAAGGACATGTCCCTCAGCGCCCTCAACTGTTCCCATTTTCCCCCCAAATAACGCCTATTGGTCACATCAAACGTCTCCCTAATAAAGCGACCCCTTGCAGTTATCACTGGGATGGGCGGCCAGGTGACAAATGACAACTGCACATTTCCTTGATGGTCAACTTGGCATTGTCAATACATTTATTGCACTTTGCCCACCCTGATGCTGACCACTGGCGTCCCACCTAGAAGGTAGCAATGAGCATATTTGCTTGCACAGTGCTCGTTCAAAAACATTCTTTGAATTCATCTTTCCACCCGGCAGGTGTAAAATAGACTTTTGCTCAATGATAATCTGGGTCACTGCGACCTTGCATCCATGCATTGTTTTCGCAAGGCTACTTATGTCCTTTGCTCAGGGAAGCCTGGCATTCTGGGATCTGGGGAAAAGCAGTCCTTCGGCTGCCAAGGAGCTTTCCTAATTGCCTGAAATCGGCTCGATGCCCATAGATCTGAAAACGTTCAAGGACAAGGTGTTAACAACTCGTTCTTACCCCCATTCGCTTGCCCACACCACCAGCCAATAGCACAATGCTAACGCAGCCCGCTGGAACCCCTGAGTCTGTCTGCAGATACAAACCACAAGCCCATTTCAAAGCAAGTCCCACCAGAAGACCTTTGCTGGATAAGAAGGCCTAATACCTCATCTTTCTTCCAGTGGATGGGTATAGCACATACGGCAACAGGCACATTTTTATCATAACACCATATGTAGGAAATCTTCTTCTTCCAGTGGACCTCTGACGATGCAAAGCTGGTGGAGATTCAAGAAATATGACTGCATTTTTCGTGCACTGTCAGTTTGGAAGGGCGGGTTGTCCTGAGTGTGGACAAGGCAGCCAACTGCCTGTGATGAACTTGGTCCAGGACGACAACTGCTGGTGGAGCATTTGACAGTTTGGACGAACAAGTCTACCTCATTGCCTTGGAGGTGATGAAAGCTAGGGAAAGTGCACAGGTCTCGGTTGCGGGCACCTGTCGGCTATTAGTGCGTTTCTTGGATCGTTGGGGCTCCGGAGCTGATAGTGGTTGAGGGGACGTACTTAAGCACACAACAACTCGCTCTGCTTGATGCACTGATTAGTGAATGATGCAACGTGTGGCTTGGCTCCATGGTGTTCCACACCGAATGCAAGAAATGCCAGTTCACTCGTCCCTTGAAGCCCAAAGGGCATTGCTTTGCTCTACGAGGCAAGCGCGACTCCAAATAATCGAGCCGAAAACTTGCCCAAGAGGCAGCATTGCCAGCCAAAGTCAGCAGTAACCCAACCGCCTCCGACTCCAAAGACGCCTTGGAAATCTGGTGGGCCCACCTTGGCGGCTTGGTCAGCCATCGCGCGCACACATTCGCCCGCGCCACGTCGTCTGGACCTGCCGCGCTCGGTGCATAGAGGTCGCTCTGGGCAAAGTCCTGACCGCACATTTGGAACCAAACATAAGTAAACGAAAGGAAGGCGCTAAAGACGGCAGCCTTCTCCAGATGATCCCGGTCCTTTCCCGCCAGTTTGCCCCGATCGGGCGCACCTGCGGATGGCTGCGAGCAGGAGCAGGCGCCATCACCGAGCGCGGGTTGGTGGCGCCGCCGCTGCGGCGTTCGAGCCTGCGACTGCGCGGCGCATCGAGGGGGCGGCTGGGCGTCCAGCCGCCCGCAGAGCCCTCGCGGCAGCTGCAGCGCCGCCATCCTCCACCTCGGCCAACTGGGGCCGCCGAAGCCTGGCAGCAGCCCTTGAACGAGATTTTGGAAAAGCAGTATTGCTGACTAACGGGCCTCAAGTTGAGCGCCACGGCGACCTCCGCGTAGTTCCACACGCCCCTCAGCCTATTTTGGAGGAAAAAACCTAAAAACAAAAAATAAAGGAATGTCGTTTTTCACAGAAACGTTAGTGGTGCACGACGCCAAGCGCTAGTGCTCATATGCTAGTGGCAACCTGGAAGGACAAGAAGACAGTTGTTGCGGGATTGCGACAGGGCACGTTGGCGAGCCCGGCCTTCAGGGGGCCCCCCGTGCCCGCACGTGAATGTCTGCGCTTTTCGACTTCAAGTCGTTCCTGACGGTCGTGCTGCTGACGATCTGCGCCTGCACGTTCCTCAAGACGCGGGCGCCGCAGCTGCTGAGCGAGCGCACCGGGTGAGTGCCCCCTTCAAGGTGGACCGGCCGCCCTTTGCTTGCATCCCCAGGATTTCTTTTACCCGCAAGGCAAGCCACTGACCCTGGGCTCGGAAGGTGATTGTACCCACTGCTGCTTCCGCCATGCTTGTCTGTGTCCCGATGTGTGATCCCGTCCTCCGCACGCGAGATGCAGCGATCTGCATGTGCGTAAGAGGGGCAGACTTCAGAGGGGCCTGCGCACGCTAGCTCCACGCGCCTCAGAAGTGCTCTCCGATCGCGACCCTTCAGGCGCGCAGTTCAAGATGGCGATGGCACTGACCGCCCCTTCGGAATCCTTATTCGTCGAATGTTGTGCAGGTTTTGGGGATTGCTGTGGAAGGCGGCGAGAATCGGTAAGGATTTGGCTCTGAGATGTGTGCGGATGTGCACCCTGTGGGGTTGTGTGCTTTCCTTAGCACTGTTTCAGGCCCTTTCGAAGAGCTGCAGGTGTGCAGCCTGTGCCTTCATCCCCTCTTCTCACTGCATGAATGGCCCAGCGGGGGTCGTGGTAACAACCCCCAATTCCCGGCAGCAGGGGCACCAGAGCATCGGTACCCGTGTGGTGGCATTGCCCACTTAGTATTTGGGGGGGAGTTCTGGGATGCGAGCAGCGCCATCTTGTACCCACGCAGTACAAAGCCTCGTGGATTGCATGTGTCGAAGTAGCACAAGTCAATTACCATGGCCCAGCCAGCGTTGTCTGGTGGCCGTCTGGGGACTTTTTGATTGCATCTTTTCTTTCTATTCGTGCAACTCTGCATTGCTGGCAAGTTTTACTGCACTAACAGATGTCTTCATATTCCCACAGTGCAAAATAGAGACCCACAAAAGAATGGTGCACGACGGTGTTACCTTTTCTTGTGGCAGCCTGCGCTTTTGCCACAGACACATGCTCAATCCGTTGGTGTGCCAGGTGAACGGCTGAGTCCCTGGGTGGCCGTATCCTGCCTGGCCATGGGCTTCACAATCATCTTGGGGTACTGACCTGGGGTCAAGGAAGTTTCATCGATGGTGCAAGATTTCCTTTCCATAGCAGGGAGCATGGCTTCCACCCATGGAGCTGACTGACTCAGGACCTGCTTCCTCCAGTGAGTGCACGGCGCACGCGTGTTAAAGCATTGATGTAGTTGTCACAATGAATAATGCACTTTCTGTGCAGCTGCAAATCTGTGACACACCTGCAGAACTGTGACACACACACTGTTTTTCATTCAAGTAATTGCGGCATATGTAATTGAACAGTATTATTGCATAAGAAACTGAAGTCAAGTTTGTTTTAATTATTGGCAGAGTAGTCCCAGGGATGTTGACGTTGCTGAATGTTAATCTCCAGCTTGAAAGCAGTGTTGGAGAATCGGAATGAAACATGCACCATATGGACAGTGATGCATGTCATCCTATGAGTAGTGATTTGGCAGCAGGGCGTCAATAGTGGTGAGCTCGTTCACTGCAAGGCAACGAGGCATTGCAAATCCGCGTTACCTGTTCAGCCAGCGTTGTTTGGCAGGAACCCTGTGACTGGACAGGGAACACCTACAGCATCAAGTAGGCGCTGTCAAAGATGTATCCAACAATTCCTGGAACAGCTGCATCGTGGCCTGATTGGTGCTTGATACCACCATATTCAGCAGAATCTAACCAACACTCTTGCATTGGCGATTTTCAGTAGAAGCTGCGCAGACACCAAACATTCCAAATCCCATTTGAACATGATTGTCACTATGTGTAATTTACATGCAACACAACTTGCCATGCTGCACTCGCTTGGCTCAGGGTAGCATGTTGTCGTGGAGGGTCATTGGTTCATGCCCTTGTGGCAACTAGTGCACTATTGCTGTGCTCAAACAACTTGCCAATTTTCCTGACGAGATGTAGCTTGTCTGAGATGGACAGCTAACGGCTACCACGAGTAGTGGTGGTTCTTATGTACTGCTTCCTGTGCCATACTTAGCAGAATCGAATGGTCACGATGTAGTTACTGTTGGTGCTGGCAATGCGGATCACATCAGCAGCAGTGAAAGGTCAATGGCTTGTCTGTACAAATCTTGTAAGTGGCACTGCACAGGAGCTAGACATGTGCCAGTGTTCTAATTCAGAAGCCATGACAATGACTCCCTGGGTAAAGAACCACGGTATGCGGAATATGGCACATTTTTAGGATGGATCAGCGCTCGTCACATTGTTATCCATATCGAACATCAAAAATGAGTGCTGTTAGAATGTCACACAAGGTGTCAACAATGCCATAATGGTTTGATTTATTTGTGTTGCTGAAATTTTCCTTTGGCTAAGTCCATTAAACTCATTATTTGGGATGAAAAGGGCATGAAACTGACTGGTCTTGACGCTGCCTTGCAGTGGGAGGGCGGTTATCTTTGCAAACAAGTCACACGCTGACCGTCATTGACAAGACAGCTGTCGGAAAACATTTAGCTTGTTCTCCAGACGCGACTGGAAGGTGCAGCTAATGGGCAAATCTGTGTGACGCTAATGCTCGTTGCTGATGCCAGAGAAGATCCTGGCAACGCTGATGCAGATCTTGTAGTCACATTTGCTGAACATGACAAGCAAAGCTCCTGCACAAATTTTGGGAGTCGGGCGAGATTGAACTGATGGGTAAGGGCCAGCGTTGCAGATTCCCTCATCCAAAAGATGATTGAGGGGAAAGGCGTAGCAGCAAGTCGGCATTAGTCCGTGAGCAGGAGATTGGATGTCAAGAGGCAGCCACTTGCACGTAGAGAGTACCCAGCTGATGGGCCACACTTGCTGGTCATGTGTGGAATGAGGGCTCCGCAGAACAAGCAACGTGAGGCGGCATGTGTGGGAGCCGTGGTTGGGCCTATGCCAGTGACAAGCCGTGGCTCAGGAAGCCTACGGGCAGGCGGTGTAGGGTGCAGAGTACGCTTGATGCAGACCGTGAATGTCAAATTCTTATCCAGTCAGGTTTTCCTGGCTTTGGACTGCGCAAGCCCAGCAGTGGAACTCATGGTCTGTACGAGACCAACACGCGTGGAGTAACGCGGCTGAATTGATGCTCATGAGGGATGCACTGTTGCGCAAATGGCGCATGTCAGGTCTCGCATCTTGGGACGCTCGCATTTCCTCTAGCACCCTCAGCATCGCTTCCACATCGCCCTCAGTAAGGGCAACGACGCCGCCGAACAAGTGGTCGTTGGCCCCGCACTGACGCTCGCCAGCCTACCTGATGCAGGTGAACCTCAGAGTGGTTCGTAGCAGGGCCGTAGTCAAGTGCAAGTATGGAAAAGCCATATTTGCAGGTAAGTGTGCACACATGCAGAAGTATTTATACGTGAACGGCAAGCACGTTTTCAGCAAGCGACCTGCACCGAGGCCAGGACGACCGCTGCTCACCACTACCAATCTCCGTGTCGCTTGCGTTGTGCGCTCAACTCGTCGCGCTCGAAGGCTCTGCACCATCTTTCCACAGTATGGAAAGGAGTCCCACACACTTTTCCTGTGGAGGGTTTGCACATTGTATGACAGGCTTTTTGTGTTGTAGTGCAACAAATCTCACCCATCCGACCCACCTGGCCCGGGAAACCAAGCACAAGTTTGGCATCCCGGTGGCAGTAGTTAGTGGAACGGCTTGTACGCCACTTCGGTTCTGAATCCCGAATTTCATGCCGAGACTGGGAGGTTGCTATGCTTCCGCGAGCTCACAGCCGATCCATAGGTTTATGGGGCCAAACGGCTAGTAAAGGGCCAGACGGGGGATTTCTTTGGGGGGGGGGGGGAGGAAGATTTGTTACAATGAGAAAACAGCAGGAGGTAATACAAAGGCCACCCCCTCCTGAGCAAGTGTATGCGAGACTCTTTTCCACACTGTGAAAGGGTGGTATAGAATTCCCGAAGCAAACGGGGGAAGGGGGGGGGGGATCAGTTTGGAATGTCAGGATAGGGGGTGTTGGGAGGGGGAACCATTCACGTGACATGGCATTCAGCCAAAACATTGTTGACACTGAGAGTACTGTAGCATCATGTCGAGTTTAACCAATGACTCATCAGAATGACATAAGATCAGCTCTGTCGGGGTGAGCAACCTGGCAAACAGCCGGACGCCTTCTTGTTGTCGGAGTGCCCGTGATACCTGCGGAGGTCTGGGTACCCTGAACGCGTGTATGACAACTTTGCATTGCAAAAGCAGCGTTTTGGTTTCCGAACAATCGCAACAGCACAATATCCTGCCCCTCAAAAAATTGCAATCACATCGCGAATCGACCTCCCAGGAAATGTGAAATGGCCACATCCCCAAGTTGCTTGTCACCGATTCATACCGCACAACCTGGTGGCCCTGCAAGTGACAGGAGCATGTTCTTATGGCCGCCCTAGACGCGGTTTGGGCCACAGTGACAGTTACGATCAACAGTCACGGCCGGGCGTCATTTCGCCCTGAAGTCGCGAATGCAATCTGAACGGAATTCAGCTGCGGGTGGTGGGACACGCCTTGCCGCCATGTCACGAATTGCATGATACCACCGTCATATTGCTGCTGGTAATATGTAAAGAAAGAATCATCTATTTTCCCAGCGTTTGTGCTACTGAATGCAAGCACAAGGGAAGGCCGCCACTTCCTGCATTGCAAAGCGCTGCGGTTGCAGCAGCTTTCCCTGAGCTTTTCTTGTCCTATCTGTGGCAGAACTCATCCAGCGTCTCCGTCAATTTGGACCCATCGAAGTCTCCCGTCACCACGCAGCCGCCCAGCTTGCCTTTTAACAGCACCAGGCGCAGCTTCCCATCCTGCACCTTCTTGTCGACCGCCATGATCGTTCTGAACTGATCGGGCGTCATGCTGGGCGGCGCATCCACCGGCAGGTTGGCGCGAAGGAGCAGTTCCCTGACTCGTTGTGGGAGGCTTGCGTCGACCCATCCCTGGAAGCAACAAAATCGTGTCTCAATGCAAGACGCCAGCGAAATTGGGAACAAATCCCGTTTAAACAACGCGGCTTGTCCTACTAGCAAAGCAGCTCGACTTGCAAACACACGGCTTTCAGCAACTGAACACGGCAAAAACATGGGTATTAAGCTGTGTTAGATGACAATCTTTTCGCAAGTGAGTTATGACTCGATACGCAACAACATGGCAATAGAAGTACGAAAGCCGCATTCCGACCCAAAGCAAACTGATGATGGTATTGTCAATCTTGACGCAACCTCATTGAATACCAGATTCAAATGCAAAGAAAGCAGGTTCCACGGACATTCCACAGCCTTTCTGCACACGTGCAGGGAAACATGTTTCAACTTTGTTGATGCCCGCCTTCGTGTCCAAGGTTCAAGTGTCCTGTTCTGCCTTATGAAAGCAAGGGCAGTGAAAGGAATTTGGTGGTCAGCGCCAGCAAGCAAACTACATGCAAGCCCGAAATGTCTTCGTAAGATGTCTCAGATCTAAGACAGATGCAACCAAAGGAATGGCGTGTTTGCTCTTACGGATGACAAGCCGCTGACAGGTCGTCAGGGCAGACTTGAAAATCAGGATAGGCTTTCAGCCTTGATGGCAGTTGACAATGCACACAGCACAGTGCTGGCTAATGGCGCTGAACAGAGCAACACACACACAATTTTGTCCAACAAGGGCGAAGCAAGAGCTTAGAAACGCTTTTACTTGAACTTATGTTACTAAACAGCTGCACCGCTGAAAGTACTTGTGCAGAAAGGGCAGTCTTTGGCAAGCTCAGTAGCACTCGAATCCGATTTAGCCACTGGTTGCCACCGTTTCAGATGCAAAACAGGAGCACTGCCTACCAGTTTGTGCGACATATGGGCCGCCATGACCATCCCAGACGACACAGCTTCCCCATGCAGCCACACCCCGTAGCCCTGCCCCGTCTCAATCGCATGGCCAAATGTGTGACCCAGGTTCAGGGTAGCTCTCACCCCACCCTCCAGTTCATCCTGTGCTACGACCTCTGCCTTATTGATGCATGACCTCTGAATGGCATACGTCAAAGCCTGTGGCAGCAGTGACATGTTGCCAAATTGCACAGGGACCAGCACGAACCTTTGGAAAACAAATTTTCAGAGATGTAAACGGAGTTGGACACCTCCTACCAGGTGCAAAAGATTGCTATCTGCAGTATCGTAAGGTGCCAGCATAAGTAGGATCAACATTGCCAACCGATACCTTGTCCACAGTTAATACACTGCTTTCGTTTGGAGGTTGTACTGGCACAAAGAGCTGGCTGGCTTTTCTTGAAAATTGCACCTGTGTAAATACCATGAATTGATTCAAAATGTTGCAACCAATTTTAGAAAAAAACTAATAAAGCTTGTGTAGAGATGTGCGAGCCTGTGGAACCCAGGCCAAAAGTCGAAAAGTTCATGCTGTTTCCAACAGTCAGCATTTCAGCACCAACAAAGAGCTATCTTTCATAACATGCTGTTGTTGCGATCATCGCATTGAAACACACATAATTGCTGCTGTGTATTTAAGAATGCTGTGTCCATCAATTATCTGTTTCCACTCGCATATTAAATTGAAACAATTAAATTGAACCATGTCATCATGCATGCGATGCAATCACAGTCCAATCGATGCACTGGCAACAAGGATCACCCAAACCTACCTGCTGGTCTCTGGCCATGAGCTTCTCCATGTTGTCTTCCAGCCAATGAAAGAGCGCGGCATCCCTGATAAGGCCGTACTTCACTATCTCCGACACGCCTGAGGCAAGCTCCCTGTCCGGCAGAGTGTCCAGCGTTTCTGTGTCGATCAGCACACATGTGGGTTGGTAGAAAGCGCCGATCATGTTCTTGCCCAGGGGGTGGTTAACGCCAGTCTTGCCGCCAACGGAAGAGTCCACTTGCGCCATGACAGTTGTGGGTATCTGCAGGAGGCAAGAGAAACTGGTGAGCGCCAGCCAAACAAGTGTGAACCTCATGGCGGTCTGGTTGTTGGTATCGTGGTGCATTGGTCTTTTGCTGATCAATTTTTGCTCTTCCTTGAAATTGAAAAAAAACTGCAACAGCCACCACTTGGTGATTATATTCTGCACATTTGCCATGATCTGATCAAAATCCAATATAGATCCCGAAGTTTTGGACACATGTCCTGGCGATTGGTGTGCTAAAGAATTCGCTGGAACAACAATACACTGCAAACTGGGCTATGAACCACTGTGGATTCTCTGGATCCCGCAATGAGCAAGGGTTCTATGTATAAGTGCTTTGATTACATCTGCCAGAATTTGACAAAACACAGCTTCCACAGCTGCAACGCAACAGCAGGCACCTCTCCAATGGCAGATTGCCCAAAACACGATCGCCATAAAATGCTGAGCAGCAACAAAAAGAATCACTTGCAGGGGATAGCACCATACCAGGGAGGCATTCGAATACCCCACTTGCGGATGTCCGGACTACCCACGTAGTGGCTTGATAGTTGCAGCACCCACAAACTGATTAACAATGACAGCTGTTACGCTGCTCAATGCACAAAACTTAAGTCTGAGATATTTGCTGCATAGTGTGGCAGCGGCTTTGGAAATTCGAAACAATCATCTGTGCAGCCAGGGGTGCCCCAGATCATCTTTGCACCTGCAAGAAATGCACCCCTCGAAGGAATGATGCTGCCGCAAACCCAGTCATGTCACCTATGACGCCACCCCCAAGGGCAACGAACGTGGACTGCCTGTTTAGTCTGCACTCCATGGCCTTGTCCCAAATCTGTTGAACCACCTCAATGGTCTTGTATTCTTCCCCATCTGGCAATACAACGGAATCGACTTGCAAGTTGCCTTCAGCACTCAGAGCCTTGACACATCTGCAAAATTTGAAGTCAGTACATTTCAATCCACAGGCTGAACCATAAACATTTTGCTTCATTGGCGATGAAGATATTACGTCTGAAGATGGAGGCATGACATGCAGCCACCATCATTATATAATTTACTTGTTGTGATGCTATCCTGGCAGTTATGCTCATAGACAAATGTTGTCCATATGGTATTGAATTCTGGGCAAGGTTGTGTCTCAGGATTGGCACCAGGGAACAGTTTAACAAAATGGGGCCCTTCTCTTGTGGGACAACTTTCCCACAATATAATACCTCAGACTTCTCTACCAGCTTTGCAAAATGTGGCAACAGCGGAAAGCATGGATAGCGATAGGCCATGCACATGGGGGCATCCTGACACCCAAAACCAAACGATATTTCCTGCCAAAGATGCAGGAGATGCATTATCAGATACTTCAACAGTGACTACAAACGATGAGCTTTCCCGAATGCCATAGATCCACCCCATTGCGTCGTCCAAAATATTATATCAGATTTTGCACATGGACAGGCATGAGGCAACCTCCCAGAGATGAAATTCATACTGCTCAGTTGGCAGCGATGAAGTCCTTCAGCTGTGGGGTTCCACCCGAGCTCTCAATTCTGAATCGAAATTGCAGCGATAACTTCAAATCTCTGATCAAGCCCCTCAAACCACGGTTGCCCACAAAGAAAATCCCATGAAACATCCACAAAGACAATCAAGCTGGGCCCGTTGCCAGAACTGCGCTCCCTGACTCCAATCGCTCGAAATCGGGCGACGCGAGGCGCTCTAACCCGGGCGATTTAATCCTCCCAAAACGACGCCCACAAAGGGGCACCGCCCTTACAGGTCTTCCAGGGTTGCTGGGAGCTTTTTCTTTGGGACGTTGTCGGGAGTTGAATATCGGGTGGCTGGGCCTTGGGTGCATGGGCAGGTCCTTGGAGGCCTTACATTACAGTTCACATTCCGCACATTCTCCTCCTCTCATACGGGCCCCCCGAGTGCATGTCTTCCTTGACTCTGACTTGCTTGTGTTGTGCGCTCATCTTTGCATCGGAGGCTCTAAATCATCTTTTCACAGCATGGAAAAGAGCCTCACATACACTTGGCTAGGAAGGGGTGCCCTTTGTGTGACTTGTTTCTCTTTCTCTTTTGTAACGAATCTTACCGCCCTTACGTCCACCCCACCCCATTTTTCCCCCAAGATGCCGCCCAGTCCCCCACAACAAAACCCCGCGAGCATCCCCCCCGTACCTGTCCAGGTACAGCGGCGCCACGGTGGTGTTGGTGACCACAAGCACGCGCCTCCCGGGCACGTGGCGAGCAATCAGGTCGCCCCTGTCCAGCAGGCCGGCGCCGATGTATATCGGGTACGATCGGTCCCCGAGGTCCACGCCGACCACCTCCGAGGGCGCCGGCTCCGCGGCTATCGCGCTGGGCGCCGCGGACAGGAGCCCAACGGGCACTGGGGCGCCCATGCCGCCGGAGACAAAATTCTTTCCAAGTCGTGGCGCGGGGTGGAGGGGGGTTGAGGGGATTGATAGGGGCCTCGGTAGGGGGAGGGGGGAGGCGGGGAGGGGGAGGCGCAGGGAGGCCGGCGCGGGCGGCCGGCGGCTGGCGGACGCCATTGAAGGAAGGGGGGGAGAGGGGGGCCTGGGGAGGAGCAGGGGACGCCCGGGGTTGGAAGGCAGTGTAAGAATCGTCCAAGGTCCAAGGAGTTGCCGGATTGTTGCAGTGCCATAAACACTCAAAGTGCTTACTGTTGCCATTTGCTGTAACAGTACTTAAAGTATTGTGCAGTGAGTTCCTTGGCCGCAAACGCGGTTTCTGCTGCACGACATGCCGCAGAAATGGGCGGGGCTGAGCGCAATCTGATGTGAAAAAACGTGCCGCGTTTGCTGTCGCAGGCGCATGTTTTGCACTTATAACATGCGCCTGGGAAATATGGGAGGGCCCCATGGTGCTGCACGTTTCCTTCCTGCTTGCCACCCTCTGCTCTGTCGGCAAAGATTGGCGCCCTGCGCGGCAAGGCCACTTTCCGAAGGGCGTTCAACTTGTGCTTCAGATTCCAAGGTCACAAGCTCGAGAGCTCAAAAAAAACTTGCGCTTTTCACGATTACTGTACACATCCCTACCCCGCCACCGAGGTATCAAAAAAGAGCTGGCAGTTCAATCCAGTGCCAATGCGAAGTCACTTCGACGAACCTGATTTAGAAACACGTGGCAGCGGTCACGGGCCAATCACATTTGCAAGAACACGTTAGTCCCTCTGTCTTTTCCGTGAAGCTCCCTTCTTGTTTCGGACAACCTAAACTACAAACCACTGACCCGCTGACCGGCGTTGGCCTCGTTGGTGAAAGAAGCAGGGATGCTCACGGACAGACATGAGGACTCACATACTTTGAAATATTAAACCCTTCCGCATCAGAAAATTTCATCGTCATGCTTTTTGCCCCGCATTTGTTTCTTCAGAGCGTTATTTCTATTTCTTTAACGTTGCTCCACACAGAGAGGCCAAGATTCGCGTTACTATTTATATTATTTTCTCTGCAAAAAAGGACCATATACTGTGCGGAAGGGTTTAATATGTTGCAGTACTCTCGACCACCAGCTTCATGACAGCGAGTGACCGCATTTGCTCAACAGAGGTGAACGAGGAATAGCCCATCACTCTGATTCTTGGCTTGCAGACATTTTCTCTTGTTTTGTGGGGGAGTTTCCAGGGGTTCGGTGGCAGCAGTGGCCGCTATTAGAGGCGTGTTTTCGGTTCTAGAGGTGGGCCTGGACGTGCCCTTTGTACACTGGATGGTACGCTACATTGATCGATGCCGTGACGTCATGTCGATGCATCCATGTAAGGAACAAACAAACAAACAAACCAGCTTCATGACGCTGGCGTTGATCAATGCAAATCGCGTCAATGCTCGCAAGTTGCTCTCACTCGGCAAGATCCGTTCACACGACAGATCAGGCCTGCTCAGTGCGCCGCTCCTCCCACCCGTCGACCCTCACATCATTTTCGTTACGGCACTCTTCCCACTCAACCAGCGGGCCGGGGCGGCAACAGCTCTCGCGCGCCGACCCCGCCCACAAACCGCAGCGCCACGGTCCCCCAGAAACGGCCAAAAAGACCATACCACCTCCATCAAGGACTGCAACAGCCTTGTGCGGACAATTGTCAAACCCTGCTGCCCAGCGGCAGTGCTGCCCCCGTCGTTACGCGCGGCGTGACGCGAGGCGCGTTGAGAGGATCTGTAACGCAGAAGCCGGCTCAGGCGGGGGAAACAGTCCGGCGGGTGGTGCGGGGGGAGGCCGGCTGGGGCGGCCGGGGCGGCCAGTGCCGATTGGGGCGGCCGGGGGGCGAGGAGAGCCTGAGGGATGCGGGGGGCCGGGCTGGCTGCCGCGGTGGTGCTCGCGGCGCTGCTGGGTGGGTGGAGAGCCGGGCGCGGGTTGGCGGGAATGAGCGTCTTGGAACCGATCAATGGCATCGAAGGGGATATGGAAGGAAATTGGTACTGAGAATTTGGGGAATTAAGGAGTTTGGCGCGTGGACTGGCGAACGAAATTGCGCGCCGGGTGCAAGTATTGGGTGTGAGTGGAAGGGGAAACAAGTCTTGCGCACTTGGCAGCTTTGTGCTGAGCGAATAGGTGGCGAGGCGGGGCTCCATCCTGTGGTTCGGATGTCTCTATAGGCGGGTTGGAAACACGCAGCACGGGGCAACGTGCTTGCGGATAGCGCGTACTTGGTGCAAGTGCAGCAGTTTGTCGTGTGTGGATGTAGGTCATGAGTGCCAATTTGCGAGCAATCGCCGGTGGGTTTCAATGATGTTGATCGGAGCGTGTTGCACCAGGGTTGTGTTACGAAGGGGGCGCGCATCAGGACAAGGGATTTGAGGGGCATGAGTGTGGCCATGCGCACAACCCTCACTTTAAAAAATACTGGGACGAGCATGATGCCATCCCGAAGGTAGGCGTGTGTGGGCAAGTCCATGCGTATAGAGCAATGCAGCTCTGCCACGGGCAAAATTTGGGCAAATGGCGGCAGGCTTTGCAGGGAGCTCATGCCACTCCCCTGGTGCTTTTGGTGCTTTTGTTTCATGCTTTGTCCCTGGCAGCAGAGCCTCGACTTATTTTCTAGGATCAAAGCACACTACCCTTGGCATCGGAGGTGATGATGAGCAGTTCTGTGCAGCCTTCGGAAACGCCCTTATGCGCCGAGTGTGCAAAGAAATATGGGAAACGCCCTTATGCGCCGAGTGTGCAAAGCAATATGGGGAAAACAATTAAAAGTATGTACGCAACAGTAGAATTGAAAGTACACAGAGAAAGTAAAGCTTGTACCCAAAGCAGCAAGCTCCAAGTTTTGTACTCTGGCCAAAAGAGGGCTGGAAGCTTGCCTTTCAGTCACTGCCATCCATGTGCGTGGGGTGGACAGAATGCGGTGCAAGATCTTTTGAGCAGCAATGGCTTGTTGAGGAGCTCTTGCACTGTGCAATAATGAGCGTTCTGGGGAAGAGCACATAACTACAGTCGGGTGGAAGTGCTTGACAATTGAGTTTCCTGCAGTGGCAGTCTGGGATTCGAAATACTTAAGCAAGTCGATAACCCTCTTGGTTAGGGTCATAAATCATGTTTGATTGACAACATCAGTGTAAGCCAGTGTATTGAAGTGAAGGACGATTGTTGGCCGCCCATGTTTTTAAGAGCATGTATGCAGGCAGTGCTTTGTCTTCAAGGCTGTTATGCTTTGCCTAACATGCAACTGTGGCAGTGGATTTCCCTTTATTTGTTACAGACCTGGGTCCTTGCATCTGCTGCACAGCGACATGACTGGAGTGGCGATCTTCACAACACTATTGTGCGGTCCCACAACGTTGAGACTTCACTATTTCCAAGCCTGAAATTGACGTAGCAGCGTGGTAACAAAGAAGCCAGTCCATGGTGCTGTGTTTGCTTGTTTAGGAAGCACACAGATTTGCGAATTCTTGGGGTGTGGAGGGAGTTGAAGGCGCCACAAGGCGACTAGCTCAGGATGGAGTTGGAGGAGATGAGCCGGCATCTTTCAGAATACTTGCTGACTTGCAGCTGGGCGATCTTGAGGAGGAAAAAGCTGCATTTTTAAAGGTTGGCCTTTGCGCGTCATGATTTTGTGGCTGTTTGAAAGATAGGCCCCAGTTGCATTGGGTCTTGGAGCGATTTGGTCAACTGTACTTGAACCAGTGCTGTCCACAATTTGTTCGAAATCTGCTATGGTGTATGTGTCATCCTTCTTTGGTGCAGTGCATTGATGTCTGCATCAAATTGCCGTTCCCAACACAACCTGCTGCAGAGCTGTTGAACATTGCTCATGTGCTCTGTGGGACTGCAGGACAAATTGGTGCCAGGAATGATTGGAGTCATTAGTCGAACGTTGAACATAAGGAAGCCAGTGCAGGGACCACTGAAGCTGCCAAGATTCTGCACGGTCGTATTTAGATTCAATCCAGAGTTTTGTGTTGAGGTGAGAATGTAGTCTGCCCTTCCCATGATACACATGAGGGCATGACGGATGTGTTTGAATGTATGGACAAGTTGGGCTTGGGGCTTGTCAATGGCATTGGTGCCATAAGCTCCAACAAATGGATACATAGTTACTACTTCACGTTTCCTACTTCCCAGGTTCTGTCTGTTTGCTGCCAATTGGTCATTTTGTGCTCAGCTTCCACTCATAGCGGCAGTGCATTGCACTGCCATAATTAAGTTCAACAGTTCTGCGCAACTGAAGGCAGGCAAGCTGATAGAATAAACAACTAGCTCGTGCTCAAGAAACCCTGGTACTGTGATGCATATCCGACAGTTGTTCGCATTGTTGGTGGCATATCCGGAGGTGTAGAGGTGCAGCCATGGAAGTTGTCACTGAGTTGCTACTGTGCATCTTGTTGTTTGCTGTTTGGACTGCGGCCCTGTTGGCACCCCAACTGTAAATGTGGAATACCTGTTGCTTCCTGCCACCTTTGTTGGCGCACACACAGTTTCCCTGCTGCCTGTTTTGCTGAGCACTGCGTAGTGGGTTCAAACCCCCAGTTGGACTTGTCCCCTTTTATGCGCTTTGTGCTTTCATATATGTCATCTTTGCCTTTGCTGTAGGTGGGGGACATGTGCGCATCTGTACAGCACAACCTGTCTTTTGTGGCAGATGCAAGGGTGTGCTCATCAGCACGTGACAGCGGTGAGTGTATGTAGATGAGCACTGAAGTTCTGCTTCAAGGTCTTGTTTAGAACAGCCATTACTTTGGGGTTAGCTTGAGTGTCAATCTTCACAGCAGTGACGATTAGCAGCCCTGGGCAATTCACTTTGTTGGTGGCCATGTACTGTTCACCATTCACGATGAAGTGGGATGCCCCCATGTGTGAACCCATCCATTGGAGGCCAGTCATGGATATGAAGAGGTGGCGGTGGCAATCGGCGAGCCAGATGAGCAGTGTGATGTGCAGATTAGGGATGCAACAACTGTTTCATTGTGGGGTAATATGATGTGTATCTGGCATCCTGCCTTTTGGCACAGGTTAATAATCTTGATGTCACCATTTTTTGAGTTGTGCTGTCAAAGCGGTGTTGCAGATGGCAGTGGCTCAGGTCATGATGTGAGCATCCCTCTCCTGAACCAATGTTGTGCAAACCTTTTGCCTGTTGAAGCAACGCTGTTGCACGGCAGCAGTTTGCAATTGGCAGTGTTGCATGTTGACAATTTATTTGCATGCCCAGCGTGCACCATTCTGCCGGGGGGTGAGGGTGCTATGGATGCGGACTTTGTGCTGTATGTGACGGCGAACGATGACCCCGCCACCTGTCAAGAAAACAGCAAGAATGTTGCATCGGCCGGCTTCTGTACGGTAGGGGCAGCCTTGTGTATTTTGAAACACTCTGTGCCAAATCCCTTGGTGACCATCCTAGGTGCTACTTGCCTCTGCAACTATGAGCACTTTCCTGCTTTGAGTGCTTGGGACAGCTGAATGTAAAATCACAAACTTTTCAATGCTGTTTGTTGAAGTTTTGCCTATGTAGCAGATTGTGGACCGTGTGCCCAATGTGCTGTGCTACCTGAATGGCTTTCAGCCTTTGCCAAGGCAGATCTGGGCACATTAGAGAGTGTCACCCAGCCCCACCCCACCATCCTTGATGTGCACATTTTGCTTGTTGACCACCAGCTTGCAACCAGCGTTTGTGTGTGCCACTGTTGCTTTCCAAACATTGGCAAAAATGGCTTGAAGCACTACCTTCACACCTCCAAGTCAATGATGGGTGTTGACAGGTGCTGGCTCTGTTGACATTGATTCAGCATCCATTCTCAATTCTTTGCCGGTGCCTTGCCACAAGAGCACAGTTCACATCGACACCATTCCAACATGTGGTGGAGAGCATCTGATTTCTACATAATGCCCACGCTCAGTATGCTGCCACGTTGATCGCCATCTTGTGCTATGATGTCACAGTATGACATGGACAATGTCTATGGCCTTCCCATGCGGCCCCTTGCAGGGGTAGCCAACTTCTGCCCAAACAAAATTCTCACAGCTCCAGAGGAATATGGTCGGATGTTGGACATCGCTGTGCATGAAGTTTTTCATGGTAAGGGCAGTGAGTGTAGTGGTATGTGCCGACTGTTGCAACCCGGCACTGTAAGTGTCTATGTGTTCGTCCAAAACGGTGTTCCAATGTCCACCGAAATTTGGCTTGCAAATTCTAGAAGTCAGCTTCATGCTTCCCCCTCCAGCAGCAACGGCAGGCTACCCAGACGATCATTTGTATGAGTGATTGTCGAGGATAAGCCATGCCCAGGGCGCCCTGCTTCTGCTTTGTGGTTTTGTGATTTTGCTCTCAACAGATAGGCAATAGGCAGTAGCATTGCTGCAGACAGTCAGTATCACACGAAGGAGTACTCTACGCACTGAAGTGTGCGATGCGTGTCAACATATTGGTCATGTGCTTTCATTGGAGCAGTTTATCTTGTATGTGACTTGTTCATGTTCCAAAGGAATCGAATCGTTCTCTCCTTTTGCAGTCATTGCAGCAGGGCAATGAATTTGGACACCTGTCACAGCCTACTTGTCAGCACATCCTGCACTCTCAGTCAAGATATCAACTAGTTTTCCACACTGCCAAAGTCACCTAGTAGCTGCAAGCAAAACACTGTTACATTTTAAGACATTTGGCCGGCTACTAATTTTGCCCGTTCCTGGGTTTCCGACTTCACTGTGTATTCATCTTTTGCCTGCAGCAATCCTTCTTGACAGCAGGCTGTTGGAGAGCCACATGATGCCCGATGGCGTCTCTCAAAGCAGCGTGTTGGAAACCAAAGATGGCATCACCAGTGTGGTGTCTCCTGCAGTCCAGAGGGTGAGTGGAAGGTCAAGGGATCTTAACCCAGCAACCTGAACTGCAATGGCACAGATAAAATTCTGAGTGAAGCAGCATAAATCATGTCAAGCTCACGATTTTCAACTCATCAGAGTAGCAGAGAAGATCTGAATCAAAACATTGGCATAGTAATGCACACCCTCACAATCGATGCTCCATACTCGTTTGTAATGTACTTTTATCACTCGAAAATGTCACAGAGCACTGCTTTCAGTCGATTCTTGAGGAGTCCGTGTCACCCATGGCCAGTGCTCCATGTCAGGCACCGCCGATGCCGACACTCCGAACGCAATTGTCAGAAGATGGTGAAGCTCTGCCGTTGCTGTTGAGTCATTGGCATCAATCCAGTCACAGGAGCCAACACCTGTATGCTGGCTAGTCCTCATCTCTGTGCTGCCTGCACAAGATGTTGTACAATGCAGGTGCAAGTTATGTCAAGTGCGATACAAAGATGCCATGATAAGTTGTGAAAGGAACTAGTATCGTGACGAATACCAGGTCTAAAATCAAGACGAAAATGGTGCATGGCAGGCTCCAAAATTGCTCGAATGGTGTTGCTGGGACCAGCCGCTTTGAGTAGGTGCGTAGGAAGCAGAATAGAATTCACAACATTCCCAGACCTTCACTGGCAACTTGTTGACTTCCAGAGTTGCGTGTTCTTAAGTTATGTGACACGTCACACTGCAAGAACCCTCACCACTGTGTCAATGTGGTGCTGTTGGTTTGAAAACAAACCTGAGCGGGCAGACCACCTCAATGTAATGAGCTCCAGTACAGTCGAACAGCTCAGACTGCAAGAGGTGCAGTATTTGGGGAATTCACCATTTTGTAGCAATGTGTATCACTTATATTTGTATCCAGTTTGGAAAATAACAATAGACTATTTACAGTAAATTTGTTCTGTCGCATATGATGGGGGAAGTCCTGCCTGTGCAGATGATGTTGTCCTTTGTCTCCAACAAATGTGCTTGAGCCATGTTTTCTTTTTGAACCATTATTCTCAAACAGAAATCGGCCTGAAGCAGAGAGGCAATTTATTGAAATATAATCTGAATATAATGAGTTGCTGTGCATCTTGGACATGATTGATTGACACATACTGCAGGAAGCGGCACAGATGCTTGGATGCCCCTCAATGGAAGGTGCTCCCCTTGAAAACGAGGGCTCTAATGGCACCCGGGGAAGCCATTGGGAGCGCCGCCTGTTCAACCATGAAATGATGGTGGGCCGCGCTGTCAGTGTCATCCGTCCAGTCCTGTCAAATGTCACTCTTGCGCTGGCAGAGGACAGTGGATGGTGCGCCCCCCATGGTATAAAAGCATACGCCCTCGTTGCTCGTCCTTTCCAATTTAACAATCTACGCACATATGTATCTGTATTTCAATTTTTTCTTCTCCTTTCCCCTCTCTTCTTTCAAGTTTTCATCGCATTTGGGTCTGATCATCGTGGCGTTGCACGTGCACCACAATAACATCCTTGCACTGGTAAAAGAGTGGATGGTGTGCTCCTGCCCACCAAAGGATGATTCTGTTTTTGGCTGTACAGTTTGACTGCACCATTGTTATGGGTGTTGGGGGGTCCTTTGGCTGTCAATGTGAAATCCTGGTAGAATACACTGACACTGTGTATTCATCTGAGTTGAGTAGAGACAATTGCTATGATCAATATTTTGTTTGTGGCGTGGCAGGCAATGCACATGCACATTCATCTGTGTCATTGAGCTCATTTCACTTTTCTTTCTGGTAACCACACATATTGACACACGTACTCAAGACCCTCCCTTCGTTTTGTCTTTTTGTTGTTCTCTTTTCCCGCCAAAAGCTTCTCCACAGTTTGGCAGGGACTAACATCCCAGTGCATGCCAGTGGACAAGGGCATTCAGCAGGCCGCAGGTGTAAAGGCAACATGAGGGCACTTTGTTCTGAATTCGCTCTGTTGTGTTTGAAGGTACATACCCTGGTACAATGCGTCCAGCATCCTGACCTACAATCACCTCAAGGGCTGCGACTTCCTCACGGCGGACTGCTCCACCAATTCAACAGCAGTGGACAAAGATTTCTGCTTTGACGACAGGCCAGGAGAATCGCAGGTGCACTGGACTCTGTGACTCACCCAGCAGAGATCATCAACACACTGAATGTTGATGCCTTATACGTTGTGATAGTGTTCTTTGGATGGTATTCTCCCCCCTGCTGGCCTGCTGACCTTGTGGGAATCAAGATTGAACAAAGCAACTGATAAGAACCAGCTGAATGAATTAAGGGCTGGCTGAAATATGAATTTAATGTATCATTTACGTGCAACCACTATATTGACAATCATGAAAGACGTAAAGGACTTCGTCAAACACAAATGACGGATATTATAACTGGCTGTTGGTCAGCCTATGGAGGCACCAGTTATCCAGTACTTTGTCCAGTACCATGGCATATTCAACCCTTTCACATTTTGATATTTCAGCGCTATGGTTGTGCTTCGCATTCTTTGACAGACCACATTTGGGGGAGAGGCTTTCTGCTTATGATCGCAGCTGGAATGGCGACTTGCTCAGTTTGCATCGCCTAAAATGCCAGTATTCTGCCACAGCAACTCGCGCATCTAGGGGCCACTAGACGCCATGAGCAGTCCAAAGAGCCTCATGTCGCTGATGGACCTGGTCCACCTTTCTTAGAACCTTTGCGTTTTTATTGTTGTTTCGTATAAAATGGCCAAGCATGCCATTACGATGCAGAAGGGCATAATATGTTACAGTACAGTGTGCAAGACTGTAGTCAATGGGTACGGTAAGATTTTCTGCTTTGGATTCGCATTGTGATTTGCTTGTTTGTGTGAAGGGAGGCAGCTGCACTCCTGACCACACGGCCATCGGTTTCTGTGACACTGACACAGAACTCATGGATGGCTGTGCCATGGTGACCCCATTCAAGAATGGGCTGTGCTCTGCACCTGAAAATCAAGGACAACCATCCTCTGTTGACCTGGGTCCAAGGTTTCAAGTGGGGTCCAGGTAATCGCTTGCGCTGTGAAAAATGCTCTTACAAATCATCCCAGTCTGTATTGTGGTAGAGTGGTAATTGTTTGCAGTGTGCACACTTTGTTTGTGGGTGACTTGAGAGTTGTGCTTGTGACAACAGCACACAGCAATGCCTAGTTGCTAAAATGGCACAAATGGGCCATATTTTAGCATTGTTTCAGGCAGAGTGGGCAGTATGCCACAACGCTGAGTGTTGAGTCTTGTAACCATTTTGTCTAAAAAGATATTTTTGAACAGCAAATTTAGTACTGTCATAGTTCATAAACTATTGATGTGTTTCACTGCTGTTTTTGTAAGGGCTGCATGGCCCTTTCGCTGCACTGCATTTGCCCGCAAATGCTTCCACAACGAATTCCTGCAACAATTTTCACTAAACACAGAAGCAATCTCACTGAATTCTCGCTTGATGGGGATTCTGGTGCGGCTGACCGTTTTCGCACTTCGTTGACACGATCTGAGTGCTGGGCCGATTTCCTCTGCAGATGCTTTCCTCTGTCATCACCTAACCTGAAGAGAACGGAGAGAAACCTCTTTGTCACGCGAATCTCAGATGCGCTGTGTTGGGAGACAGTGTGCCGGAATGGAAGCGTGTACATCGTGGTACCTAAAACCAGTGTCCATCCCCGAAGAGAGCTGGTATGCCCTGAGGGGGAGATGATAGATCTGGCAACCAAAGGCATTGGGTTCGACGAGGGGCTGGTGGGTCCATGCCCACCATCCAGGGACATATGCGACTTTTGGGGGTAGGTTTGATAGGCTGACCGTTCGTTTGAAAGGAGCAAATCCTTTGTGAATATGGAAGCAAAGACATTTGCTGTGCGATGGACGACTGTTTTTGCAATATACCAGTGCTTTGATCAGTTATTGCCCTATGTGCAAGTGCGTGTTAGCCTCGGTTGGCCTGTGAAGGGTGGAAGACGATCCACTGGCCCAGAATTGTTGTGTCCCTGCAGGGGTATTGCGATTCTGAGCCGACTGCCATTGTCAGCTTCGATGAAACATCGCACATGCACCTTCTTAGCTTTGTGAGGCAGCTGATGAGCCTCAGAATTTCTTCCCAGTAGCTGTTTGCTGGGCAATGCTTGCGTGGATACGGATGTTGTGCTTGACTCAACCTGTGTGCCGACCCCTCCAAGTCGCAGTTGCAGTGGCTGCAAAATGTGATTCAGTATGTGCCCTGAGCAGCATCTCTTCGGATGGGTGTCTCAACAGCTGCTCTGCTCCACCTTGTGCAGGTGCCCCAATGACTGCAGCCGCAATGGCCAGTGCTACAAAGGCAAGTGCCACTGCTTTCTTGGCTTTGGCGGGGAAGACTGCTCCTGGCCAGCGTGCCCGGACAAGCCCTGCCGCCCTGGTCAAGTCTGCGACATCTTTACTGGCTTGTGTGGTGGTACCGGTGCTGCCCAGCCGCCCCCACCCACCCCAACTGACTCCGGGGACACCCCAGAGGGGGCTGCCATCACGGAGGCTGCTGTGGCAGTGGTGACTGAGGGCGTTGCCGTTGGCACAGGCTACCTTGCAGGCTGTTCTGTGTTTGTGGATGAGAATGGGAACATGGTTTTGGAGTCCAGCTCTGAGGCCGTGAATACGACAGGGGTGCTGGGCAACTGGACGCTGTCGGTCATGGGAGAGACCGAGGTGTGCATGGTGCTGCCATCTATCAGCTGGCATCTTTCACGTGTTCCTTTCCGAATTCTGTGTGGACGAATTAGTTCATGGAACTGACTACAAGAAAAAGCTGAATTCCTGTTGCAGACAGTGTATGGAAACCAGATCAAGCCATGAATACTGCATTCAAGGAAATATATTGAGCTGCATCGTGCATCTTGCTTCAGCTGTCAAGACGATGACCTCAGCAACAAGCACACTAGCCATTGGCACAACTGGGCCCTGGACCAGACTTATCAGTTGTGCAATCATACAGCTGCCATGCCTGGCACTGTCTGGGCAAGGTACCAATTCAAATGGCCAGTTTAAGTAGATGCGAATGCACCTGGAGTGAGGATCACCAATGTGCTCACAAGCATTGTACAAGGGTTTGCGTTCTTTGATGCCAACCAAATATGGCGATGTTGCGGGTACCATCTCTCATTCTAGTCCACCCATCATTCTGGTGATCCTTTCAGTGCACTTCTGTCCCTTTGGACATTTTGGCTTCTGCTTTTGCCAGATTCCCAGTCAGCTGGCACAGTTTGCTCCGCCACCAATAACCACTGTCACCTGCAAGGTGTACCGGCTTTGTCATGTGTACTTTGAGAATCGCAGTCCAGTGCGCTACCAAAGACAATGGGAGGCAGGCTGTCACTCTGGCATGTTCTCAAACATTCTGGCATGATTTGGATGGAAGTAAACACACACAATGCTGGTTGGCAGCACCCTGCCTCCTTGGCTTCCACCCCATTCTTTTCATTCTATGCATTTATATGCTCTGATGCTCAAGTATTTGATTTCTTTCATAGAAAACGACCAGGAAATTAACACGATGCAATGCTGTGCCCTGCGAAGATCGTTGTGGACCCCCGGCGCCTGCCTGAGTGCCGCGACGTCTTCACCAACTTGGTCCCGCCCTTCTTCCTGTGGACGGACTCCACAGCCCGCGTCATCTCTGTCCTCACCAGCCTGGTGAACAGCGATGACCCATCAGAAGACAAGCTGGCCACCATACCGCAGGATCCCCCAGCCCCAGCAGCAGCCTCGGGAAGCGCCCTGCAGACCACTGCCTCCCCTGAGGCGTCCTTCCCAGACACCACCACGGAGGGCGACAGCACTGTGGAGACAACATCAGAAACGATCCAGATGACCCCGATGAACGGCAGCGTGGGGCCGCCACCTGTGGAGGAGACACTGTTGGAGGCGCTGGGCCTGACGGATGGGGCTGTGGTGTATGCGGACTTGGTGCACGAGGTGTCCTCAGGGAAGGGGCGCAGGGAGGAGGAGGAGAGGGGGTTTGTAGTCGCTGCCGTGGTTTCGAACACCCTGCTCCAGGCAAGTGTGGGTCTTGCTCCATGTCTGCTGTCATGTCTTCTGCCTTGGCTGTTTGGCTGCTGGCTCTCCGGTGGCTGTTCCTGTTTCTGGTCCAAGATCAGGGCAGGCTTTGGTGGAAAGCATGTGAAATGCGCAACAATGCAGGAAGTGAGAAAGGAAAACTTGAGCTATTGTTCTGCGTGGGCAACGCTGCATTATCATGTGTGCATTTGAGCTTCAGGTTCAGCTTCAGACAGGCTGGAGGCCCAATGGCACTGGCCACAGACAGTTCAGTGCAAGGCGATTTGGGTGTGCAACAACATAATGATTGCCAGTTGTACAAGGTCTGGAAGTGGCAAAATGGCAGCTGAGGATCAATTGTTGTGCCGGCTGAGAAAGAAATTGTTATGGATTCTTGCATAATTTCCACATGTATATTGTGTGGTGGAATATCTCTTTTTTCCTGTCTAAGAAAACCAATAAATAGTCAATTCTGCCTGAGCACAGAGTTGTCATTGTCGATGAATATGGTCTGATAATATCTTTCAGAGTCATAGCTGAGTGATTCCAAGCACGCTTCCCATTTCTTGGATTTTGTTGCCACAGATGCGAAACAAAGCTTGCACCTGCAGGCTTGTAACTTCAGCAACTTTTGTCAGACAATGCCAAACAAAGCCTAGCATTCATTTGGGCAGGACGTCTCTGCTACAGATCTTGCTGATGCAACTGTTAACTGATCCGGGTACGACTACATGGCTGATAACAGATTGACACTTGATTTGATAAGATGTGTGGAGTTGAATCTGCCTGGCATTTGTTGCAAGGTGAGCAGCTGGTCACTCCTTGGCAAGTGAATGCAAAGGATCGGCGACAGCTGCAGCCTGCTGTAGTGATTCTGTTCTCTGGGGCCACCCGCAGGCAGCCTCCTTCATCGGGGGCCCAGGCGCAGACATCAGGAACATCGTGAGGAATGTGTTGGGCCAGATGCGCAGGCAGATGCTGGACGGTTCGCTGAGTGCCCTGGACTTGGCGACACCGGCCGGCCTCAGGCGCCTCACGGCGAGCGTCTTGGAGCCAAACGACGTGCAGGAGGACCGGCTGGACGTTTATCTCTCAACCGTAGCTGCACTTAACCAGGTGAGATGCTTACTTTCATGTGTTTGCTTATATAGTTGTATTGTTATGTATTGAGATTTATGTTCATATTTATTTGTTTGTTTATTCGTTTGTTTAATCTTTCAACTCATTAGGTATTAATTAGCTGGTTTTTGTTGCTGTCACCTATGTATTTGCCAGCTTGTTGGATTTTCTGTAATCGTGTTGCTGCTGTCAGTTCTGCTACTGCAGGTAGAGATTTGCAAATACGCTTACTTCTAGTGGACAAGTGGCCTCCATAGTTCCATTTTGCTACAATGGTTTAGTTGCTGTGAAAACTCGAATATATGTTTCATATGTGCAAATAAACATGAAAGTCAGATCTCGCAAGGAGGGTGCTGCCCAGTCCAAATTGTGGTTTGACCTGCAATACGCTGAATGGAGGAGAACCTTGTACAAATTGGGGTACAATATGGCCGAGCCACAAAGGGCTTGAGGTTGAGGTGCCCGCCCTTTCGGTCTTGGTGTCTAGGCCACTTTGTTGTTGAGATGTTGGCGCTCAAATCAGTGTGGATCATATGGGCATCTTGGATTGTGGACTAGGCTAGATCCAACCCCCACCAGGCCGTCTGGATTGAATCTGAATTACATTGAGTTCTCCATCTATCGAGTATGCACGAGGTTTGCCCTTGACAAAACCCTACTACCGTTTTGTTCATAGGCAGAGCAGCCAGCATTTGAGCCAGTCATGAAATGTGGCAACAACTCGTCAAGAGTGAAATGAACGAGTGGTCCATTGCACGTCTAGATGGACCCGCCTGTGGACATTTCTACAATGCAAAGCGGTTTCTTCTGAGC